GGCATATAAAGGGTGAAGCGAGACACAGCACACAGTATATGTGAGAAAGAGTTATGCATAAGTACGCGGAATTATTCATCTGACTCAGGACAGTCCTCATGAAAATGTTCTAAGAATTGTTACAGTTAGTCAAACCACGTTTCATGTAGTAATTCAACGAAGACATGCAGATTTGTGATACATCACCAATTAAATTTAATAGTAAGTGTGAGTCATTGGAATTTAGCTCAGTGATACCTTTCTCATAAAGAAACTGAAAGATTTTTGTTACACCTTTCATAAATTAGAGACAGTTTCATTGTAATTTCTTTACAGTGCTACCTCAATACAGTTTGATCATGGAATCCCTGATGAGTACAAATGCTCACTCTGAATGAATCATTTAGACTAAGTAATTCAAACTAGTAAGAATGTAAAATATACTGCTCATTGAAATCTGTATTGGAAATTATCACCGCTTATAATTTTTCGTGCATGAATTAGTGTCATTCATAAACTTGATTATAAACACGTATGAAGTACAGTGTAACATAGTAGATGGGTTGAAATACAAAAATTTAAACTTTCCAACCCTAATCATCTTAATACATATACTGCAAGACACATCCAATGTTTATTTACAATTTATTATACCACTGACTGACTGATTATGCCACTAGTGACTTCTTTGATTTGGTAAGTCAGTTATCAATCGCCTCTAAAGCTTCAGGGAATCCATCTCGAAGTCAATCATTAATGAGAAGATTTGTATTACTTACAGAGGTAGTATCTGACTAAAAGCCTTCACATCTTTTAGCAAACAGTACTGTTGGATTTCTGGTCCAAATGCCAGTATTTTCCAAGTTACCTGACACCTAAATGTTATGTAATCCAAAGTTCCTTAAATGAAACTAACTTTTACTGGGTAAAATCATTGAAGACATGATAGTTGTATCATTCTAGTATTACTTTCGCTGAGCATACAATGTATTCATGTCCTGGAGGTTTATTTGCTAGCATAATATTATCATGATCAAATGACCCATATTATGAGTGATACTTAAGATGTAATAATTTCTGATAGCCTTTTTTCAATACGGTCAGTTGATTACTGTCTAACTTCCGATTTGGTTGACTTTACAAGTTGTAGTTGTGGATACTATACCAATGTCCTTTTACTTTTTATTTACATACGCCTGTTACCCCCCCCCAAATGGAGCATAGGCGGCCGACCAGCATTCTTCAACCCACCCTGGCTTGGACCTTCCTTTCTAGTTCCATCCAATTGCTGTTCATTCTTCTCGTGTCTTTCTGCATTTTTCGGCCCAATGTGTTCTTTAGTCTTCTTCTTTTCCTTTGGCCCTGAGGATTACAAGTCAGGGCATGCTTTTTGACACAGTTGGGTGCTTTCCTCAATGTGTGTTCTATCCACCCCCAGTGCTTTTTCCTGATTTCTTCCTCCACTGGAATCTGGTTTGTTTGGATCAATGGATCCGAAGTATTTTGCGTAGACAACTGTGAATAAGCATTTGTACCTTCTGGATGATGGCTTTCGTAGTTCTACAGGTTTCCACCCCATAGAGTAGAACTGTCTTCACATCCGTATTGAAAATTCTCACTTTGGTGTTGGTTGACAGTTGTTTTGAGTTCCAGATGTTCATCAGTTGTAAGTACGCTGCTCTTGCTTTACCGATTCGTGCATTCACATCTGCATCAGATCCACTGTGTTCATCAATGATGCTGCCGAAATATGTAAAGGTTTTTACATCCTCCAAAGCTTCTCCGTCAAGTGAGGTTTGATTGGTGCATGTTGTGTTGTATCGAATAATCTTGATTTCCCGTTTGTGTATGTTAAGACCTACTACTTTTGCTACACTGGTCGTCTTCTCATGGATTTGTTGTCCTTGGATTTCCAATATTTAACTAAATGATCTCAGAATGGGGGATTTGTGGAGATTATAGTAACTTGAACAGCTGAATTCATGAATCAATCTAAGCTAGACCCCCATTGAAAACTTGAAACAACCATCCAATACGTTCAAGTTTTCAATAGTAATCTAACTTAGATCAATTCATGAATTCAACTGTTAAATAACATTACTTTATGATAATCAGTCGTTATAAACTCAGTAAAAAAAATCACTACAAATCTACATCATTTGATAAGAATTAAGACATACTTCTTCAACTTTTCTCATATTTTGATAACTCTACATAATATGCTAATAACTTTGACAAATTCGGGATAGAAATAATATCAAAGATCACTTAATGTTTGTAAATAGATGATTCAAAAAAGACCTTTTAGTTAGTTGATAAGATCTATATCCATTAAAATAACTGTCTTTTTGTAGAATAGAAAATTCCACTAAATTTCTAACCGAGTTAAAAATGTTCTCTCTTCTAATTTATTCAAGAATAAATTGTTTGTCTTATTCTTTCTATTGATCAGATTGAACTTATCTGAGATTGGAATGTTATTATAGAAAGGAGATGTTATTATGAATGACTTTCAAATAATATAAACATGCTTTTTTGTTGTTGTTGTTGTTGTTAAAATTTTGATAATCCATTTACTAGCTATGAGATAGCATGGATTACTATGAGAGAGAATAAACCAACTTCGAGATGAGAAGGGAATTAGAAAAAGACATTGGAAGTGGATAGGAAATATATTACGGAAATCATCAAAATGTATCACATGGCAAGCGCTAACTTGGTATAGTGAAGAAAAACGGAAAAGAGGAAGGCCAAAGAACACATTACGTCGGGAAATAGAAGTAGACATGAAAAGGATGAATAAAAACTGGAAAGGACAGCCCAGAACAGAGTTGGATGAAGAATGCTGGTGGGTGGTCTTTGCTCCTCGATGAGTGTTATTAAGCGTAAGATAGCATGTATGTAACAAAGGCAAGAAGTGATCTTAGCTACATTGATGGTTCAATGCATTTGATGATGACTAATCAACCCATTTCCTTGTAGTACTATGTAAAACCAAACATTTCCAGGCATTTTACATTTCCCTCTAATATTTTAAGACAATCTTTGCTAACTTTTACTATATATCTAATGGTATGAATTGGGTTGAACAAGTGTATAAATCACATTTCTATTCTCTAATCAACTATTCGTTCAACTTTATCGTGAAAAGTAGCAAGTGAGACTAATATACTCCTGAGCTATGTATGAAGTGATTGATGAGCATTCAAGATTGTCAGCTTTAAACTCGTACACTTCAGGTTCAAACCCCATCCTAAATATACTCCAATATCAGGAGTTGATTAGCAGTTATCCTAATCTTCATATAAGAAATGTAGTTCAGAATTGATTACAAAAACCTATATTGATCAGCTGAAAATCCAATGACTAGTTATAGTGTTTGTAATAACTGATAAATGCTTCATAAATAACTATTGCTCAATCTCTTTACATTCAGTAATGTATAATCACGTATGTTTTTGCCTTTTAATGTTGGTTTGTTCGTAACTACTATAATTGAGTTTTGGATAAATCTGAGAATTCCTACTATTTTTTTGAGCTAAAGCAATAAAAATAGTTATTCGATCCAGTATACTAATAAACTTCGATATTACACAATTGAATATACATCCAAGTAATGACAGATTTGAAAAATACATTAAGTGTTTTGTAAGCTTCCAAAAGACGAATATAGCAGCTCACGTGCAATTGAGTTTGTTCACATTTGATTTGATTAAGCCTTTTTGTTAACTTATTCGACGGACAGAGTCATTCGTACAATAACAAGTTATCTATACCATTGTACATTAATTATTGTTGCACTTGTATGAATATGTATGCTTGAGCATTGTTTACTTCCTGCTAGCCTTACTATCAGTCACTTAATAGATAACATAAACATTGGTACAAGAGGACACCAAATATGCTCTACATAAATTATTCGATTTATGTGAGGGCTGGGATACTGCCCGGGTGCCCAGAACGAAGCAGGTGGTTTCATAAAGGGCCACACTCGGAGCCTTCGATTTAAAGATCTGATCCACAACATAGTGGGGCAACGTCAGGAGATACAGTCACATGGTAGCCGGTGACCAACGATTGGTTCATATGCCATCCGTTCCTGCAGGATCCTGGAGCCCATGTCCACCAATTGTTTGCAATCAGGTTTTTTCAACTGTCCTATGTAGATCCACTGTATCCACCAACCCCGTTAAAGCGCCGCGAAATCGCTTTTCTTCCTCACAATTTCGTAAACAACATCCTCACCGCGAGAAGGCAGTGATTATATGCACATGGCAATGTGAGAGCTTTTCGAGAGAGCTGACTCTCTCCACTTTCAGCCGTACCAGTACATTTGGGGGCCGCTTAATTGATTTGATGATTCATTCATTTCACCATGTATATATATGTACATTTTATCTTGTTCACTCACTCGTTCATTTGACTTGCATGCTCAATCACTTACCCGCTTGTTTTTCAGCACTACCCTTTCACGCTTAATTTTGGTGATCTGTGTATGATGCAATAATTAACGTAATCAACACTTCGTATTCGCTTTCTGATTAATACACAGGTTGAAGCGTTACCTATAAAGATGGTGATCAGGACGAAGTTTAAGGATTATATTGATTATTGACCATTACAATAGGATAGAACAAAAGTGGATTCTAAACATTCTTGATTTATGAAAAACATAAAAAGAAACTATATTTTAGATCGCTAACCTTTTATTAGAGATATAAGTATAACACAATGTAACATAGATCAAGAATTCATACACACACACACACACATAAAGCTGAATTGGCAATATCAAAACAAAAAAGGGAAAGATGACAACAGAATAAATACTTACTTCATAATATAGAATAGTTGACACTTATATGAATATATCATTCATTTCTGATGATAAAATTGAGAAGTTATGAAATTCACAATCTCATCGTCGACAATGTTGATGCATTTTTCTTCTTCTTCTTTAAACTTTTTCAACAGCATCAAAATAATCTAAATGTATACCTAACCATAAATTTGTATACTCTTTATCATGTATTAAACAATGTATTAATTTCGGTATAGAATTTATATTAGATGGATCTATTGGTATTTGTTTTTTAAGCCATCCAATACATACACGAGCTGATTCATTTGGTTCAATAATTTGATGATTTAATTTCATATTATTAAATTGAATACGTGTATCTAGATGACCATGATTTTCTATGATTTCTGTTAACATATTTGTATTTAATGGTCCTGGAGAATAATTTAATATAGCTAATGATGGATTATCTATAGATAAACATTTAAAATACATTTCTCTAGCTGATTTACCAATACAATAATCTGACATATATGGAAATGGTTGAATAGCTGTTAAACTAGATATATTCACTATAGTAATAGGTTGATGATTAGTAATGAAATATTCTATAAATAAATTTGTTAATAAGATAGGTGCAGTTAAATTAGTATGATAATATGTATCTAATATATCAATATTATAACATTCATATGATTTCGACTTGATATTACCTAATGTAGCTGCATTATGTACAAGCATATTCCATTGACATTTTATATTAGATTGAATAGGATATAATGAATTTAATTGAAATAATGGTTTTAAATCATTTAATAAATTATCTTTATTAGCATTGGACATATCAAGTGATGATGTTGATACTAGTATAGTTAATTTCATTTTGGAATTAGTTGATAATGAAGCATACATCTGTGCAAGAATTTAAGAGAGAAAAAAAGAAAGGGAGAAAGAAAGCATTGAATCATTTACATAAATTTAAACCAGTCAGTCGGCTACGACTTAAGACTAGGCACATATATGTATCGGTCCAAGTTGCCATACCTCGTTAGCACAACAAGCTGAATACCGGATTCAGTGTAGGTAATATATAAAAGAAAGATTGTATATAGGGATATAGTACAGGAAGAAAGAATTAGTTGGTAGAGAGAAATACATGAAGCGATTTTAACCGCATAGTTTAAAGGAAGACAGAATGTGTATACACCTACACCATTGTGATCGATTCTGGTTACGATAGTCTCGTGGACCCCAACCAAGTAGTTTGCACCTACCAATTCGTTTATTTATAAGACATTATGGTTGATAATAAGTAATATAAATAAATAGCTAAGATGGTGGTTGAAGGTGGTCAACAAGAGATCCTGTACCCGGGTTTCGTGCTATTTGGCATTTGTCTGCAAGATGTACCTGTAATCTTGGGGGAAATGGTGCCCCTGACGGATTCGGTCCCATGTCACCCAGCCCACAAATGCCCTGGTATGGCCGAGAGTGGGGGGAGTCGGCTCTCCCTCTCTAAATGTTTTCACATGGCCACGTACATACAACCACTGCCAGGGAAGTATTACTCACTGCCTTCTCGCGACATTACTGTTTTTTAAGAAATCGAGAGGATGAAAAGCGAATGTCCGGCACTTTAACAGGGTTTATGGATATGGAGGATCCACCTATGGGAGTTGGGAAACCCTCATTCTAAACCAATCGTTCACGTGAGCTCCATGATCCTGAAGGAACAATTGGAGTACGAACCAATCGTTGGTCACCGGCTACCATAGGACAGAATCTTCTGACGTTGCCCCATTGTTTTATGGATTGGACCTTTAGGTCGAAGGCTCGGGGTGCGGCCTCCTAAGAAACCACCTGCTTCGGTTTGGGCACCCAAGCAGTATCCCAGCCTTCATACAAATCGAATGAGTTGTGTGGCGCATAACTATTTGGTGTCTTCTTGTACCAATGTTTATGTGTTTAAATAAAATAAATCACCCAGCTTCACAGTCAGAAATGTTACCACTGGGCTATCCGGGCCGCAACTGACCTCCTGTATGACTGAGATGTATTCACAATTGATTGATCATTGGGTAGTGATCAATTTCATGTGTGTCAGGTCCTTCTTAATGCAGATAAAACGCTATCGACCAAGCTGCAATGTAGCCATTAGTCTAGGTGACTCGACATTGCGTGCATTACGTATTGTTTTACCTTAGATCTTAAGTATTTTAACTATCTTATGAATTTTATCCGGTGAACTCATTCTTTTACCTCGGTTAACTATATCTATGCCTAATCTTCTCCTCTACCACCGATATTGTTACCGCTTCCACTAATCTAACATCTCTCTTAATAACTTTACTTAGCTGTACGTTGCACATAACTAACCAACTGACTAAGTGTGACACTTGCACTCCTTTAGACGGTTAATCTAATAGTCACTGCATCCGTTCAAATATTTTGTTTCTACCAACCACCATCATCTATTATGTATGTCTTTTGAGTATTATATTTGAAAGACCTTGACAGCAGCATCGGCCATTTAGCTCGTACTAAAAACTACTTTGTCATAAAGCTTTCAGTGCAACAGAGTATCAGGATGAAGAATGCACGATCCACACAGTGGAATAACAATATTTCATATAAAAAAATGGGAACAGAGGATAAAGTTATGGGATAAATGGCCAGGAATAGTAAGTTTTTGAAAGCTCCACTTTAATAACCAAAACAATTAACTAGAACGGAAAGTCCACAAATGATTAATATATCCATGTAAAGAATTCTTAAATAAAGGCTTCTAGAATGTTAGCAAAGATTCATGGATGATGACTACAAGTTATGCAATGGCGCAGGTGCATCCACTCTTTGTGTTATCCCAAATTCTAATCTTCTGACTTCTTCATGTCCCTTTCTTTTTTCTCTTCCCAAATTTACTTCACTGGATTATACTCCTTGAATAACATCTTCAAACCCTAACTACATCTAGCAGTACGGGATTTGGATCGAACACTGCATCTCTGTGCTAATGTGGTGTGGCAAATCGAACTGATGTACATACGTACGAAGTTCTACGTTGTTACTGACTGACTACAAGTTAACAAGACATAGATACGGTAACAGGAATATAAACAGAACTACGTATTAACTACGTAAAAAATACGAAACATAAAGAAAATAATTTCATTTGCACAATGGAACGTTTCAATCTTAATTAGCTTTTATCTTGTTTTTATCTACAGTCAGCAACAACGTAGAACTTCGTACGTACGTACGTACATCAGTCCGAGTTGCCATACCACATTAGAACGGAGATGCAGTTGTCGATCCAAATCCTGTAGTGGTAGAGGTAGTAAAAGTATAAGCAGTCATCTGAAAGATTACAGTTTGAAGATGTTATTCAAGGGGTATAATCCAGAGAAATAAATTTGGAAGGAGAAAAATAAGGGATATGAAGAATTTTTTATCTACTCTCCTCTGTTATTGCTCAGCGTATCTTGAACAAAGTTTAAAGTTCAGTTGTCCGTTTTCATATAGTACACATAACTTATGCAAAGAATATTATCTAAAGATATACACACAACAAAACAATATTATTAGTGATATTTTGTTATAAACCAATTAAAGTGTACATAACTATAAAACCTGGCCAACCAATCGATATAGATGTAGTTTCATAATCAACCTCCCTCTTCAATTTGTATTAATCGTCCTACATCGACTTTCAACCATAAACTTTTCGCTTCCACCTCAAGTGTCACCATAGCCAACGATTCTAGTGCTCAAAACACTGTCCCAGGTCTACTGAAACCTCGCTCCAAACTACACATTGGAGCCTTCAACGTACGCACCCTATGTCAAATCGGTCAACAGGCCTCCTTGGCTAAAACCCTAGGATCTCGTACCATTGATGTGTGCTGTCTCCGAAACACGCATACAGAATCCTAGTGTGGTCAACGTTTGGACCTCATCTCGCCAAAACGGAGAGCCAACGAGATACACCCTCCATGTATCTGGCGACCCGATGGCTAGTTCTCGTGAATCGGCAGGTGTAGGCATAGCAATAAGTACGAGGGCAGAACAAGCACTATTAGGGGATCCTCGTTAACAGTCGTCTGTGTGCTGTTTGGCTGTCTGACATACCTTATTTGCTTGAGATCTTTAGGTCCAATATACCTTCAAAATACTCTTTTCATCCATTCTTTTTCGAACTGTATTCTTTATATTTAATCATTCTCTTTAACATATATCGATACTATTATCGTCTTTACTCGTTGCTTACTCATGTTGTTGATTTTACCCTTCTGTACTGATGTGGTATGATAATTTTGGGCAATGTAAATGTTTTCAACTAAATGGTTAAGATTTCTGCTTCAATTTAGATTAATTGTTTTCTTACGTTGTTTAACGTGAATCGGCATACATTTGTATCAGGTTCTACAATGATAATGGATGATTGAAATGTCTGTAATAAAAGCAATAAATCTTGACTACATTTTGATATCAGTATACAACAGCTCTTTTGTCTTCTAACCTGAGGTACTACAAGAGACAAAACATATACGGAAGACTTATTCCGTAAAAACCAAATAAGATCAATTGACGTTTAGATTTATTTCATTGTATACAGATTATACTCAGTAATCACTGCTTATTGTTAAACTGCAACACAAAATTAATACAATTAGATGTCATATTGAACAGAAGCCGCATGATAAAAAAATTGCGTTAAATCAATGCATGATCTTACACTTGCTTTCTTCAGATATTGCATTTAAGGATTCAATATACCCAACAATGACTGACTTATTAATACAGCATGTTGATTCATAAGATATAAAAGAGTATTTACATACATTTTTTTTATAATTTTATACATCAAATGACATTCTTTTGTAAAGCCTGGATTGCTATGATCAACTAGCCAATTTCTAATCATATTGGTTACATGAAGGAAGAAACTTCTATAGATAAACTCACCTCAGACTCCGTTACACGAAGAGCATTAACATCACGAGCCATTAGTAAAACATTTAAGGAAGCAGCATGGTCTTCCCCAGATGACATTGACTTTACTAGCTCCACAGCGAACGCCCGACCAAATCCACGACTTGCACCTGTGATTACAACAAAACAGTCAGCATCACACCATGGACTTTTGAAAGAGTTTAACTTGTCACATGTACAATCCTTCACAGAAGACATCTATAAATAAAAGATCATATGTATTTAATACAATTGTATTAATCCTTTACATAAAACTTCAACGATTAGCACAACTAACTGTGCGCATATAATTTGCTTGACGGTTTACAGAACTCGACAATCACTGTTCATGATGAGCTTCTAATACATGTAGTTTTTATCAGCGTTAGTAAATTCAAACTCAAAATGGATGGCTTAAACAGCTCGCAAGCAGAAAAAATACAAACTTAAATATCTACGAAAATCCGGGAAACAATATATGAATCTAAAACATCTAGGAAAAAAGTAGGCAAAGTTCAGTAATAATCTTTTGGTCTAGTGTGCTAAATAAACATAAAATGTAGTCACACTACAAAAGTTCACCTAACCACACATTAGTGAGCTTAAGAACGATTGATAGGGTAATACCAGTCCTTTTTAGATCTATGCAGTGTATAAAAAACCACCGATATTCACAAATACAACTTAAAATCTAATGATCACAAAAATCAATACATCTCCAGTAGTTAACACATTGGTTAGATCATAATGTAATTTTAGCAGTGAACACAATGTAAAATCTGGCATCAATAACTGAAGACAAACGTTTCCCAGTTCTATAACAATTAAATATCAGTTAAATGTTTATCACTTAGTTAGAACGTTTTATTAAGTCAGGATTTTCGAATATACGTATCATGGGAAAAGGTGTGAAAACCGGAATCGGGAGAGACTTAAACTTGTTGACAACTTGGAAACTATTGAAAACTTAAGATTTTAATTTACAAATACGTTCAAGAATGGTGGCTTAAAAGAGGTAATATGAACAATAACAATCATGAAAACTGAATTTCTGGGTATCGATGACTTGGAAGACAATACCTTTGAGACGTGCATGAATATAATAAGCGGTTTTTCAGAAATCCTAAGCGTTTTATATTAGAGCTGTCTGGAGAAAGAACCGATACCCCGCACAATCTATATCACAAAAATAAGATATAACAACCATACTTTAAGTCATAATCCTGTACTGGGTAGGTTATTTAAAATGCTTCCATGCAGCATATTCACGATGTTATCGACATTCGACTTTCCACTATTAATGAGTGAATAGAGTTAGGTGTATTTCAGGTTTATAATACGCAATTTTGTCTGATTGTTCTTCTCCCGTTTGAATATATTGAACATAAACATCTTGACGATCATAAAGTATTTTATTGTAAGATTAGTCTGCTAACATACGACGGGCAATTGAAAAGGTTTGGGACAACTTGAAGATCACATTCAAAGGAATAATAACTATATCCATTGCATGATTACCACATCGGCTATTGCAGTCTTAGTGAAATAAAACGACAAACCAAAAGAGCACGAAAATGTACAAAACACTTCTAAAATCTACATTACACAACCAACAGTGTTGTTAAAGATGGAGTGCGTTGGTCAAGAACAGTGCCGTAATTTGGTCGCGTAAACCAAAAGACAAGTATACTGCGCGGCAGTCCGTTCTGTCTTACTTTACGGCAGCGAAACATGGCCTTTAAGAGTGGAAGACACCCGTAAGCTACTAGTATTTGACCACAGATCTCTTACAAATATTGCTCGCATCTGCTGGGATCACCGGGTAAGTAATAGTGAGGTTAGACGCAGGGTATTAGGGAATGATGGTAAATCAGTTGATGAGGTTATGAATCTTCATCGACTGAGATGGTTGGGCCACGTATTACGTATGCCTGAACACCGATTACCACGACGTGCAATGCTAACCGGTGTAGGGGATGGTTGGAAGAAAGTTAGGGGCGGCCAAACCAAAACGTGGCATCAGTGCCTGAAGTCACTAACTTGTAGTCTGAGCCATGTTGGTAGATGCAGACTACTTGGTTGGGGTCCGCGTGACTTTCGTAACCAATGGTTGGAGACTCTTGGTGACATGGCTCAGAATCGATCACAATGGCGTCGGTGTATACACTCCCTGTCTTCCCTTAAACTAAGAGATTAAAATCACTTCATATCTATCTTTCTACGAACTAATTCTTTCTTCCTATACTATATCCTTATTGCAACCTTTGACCTAACCACTCCTATGAATCCGGTGTTCATCTTGCTGTGCTAATGAGGTATGGCAACCTGGACCGATGCACATATGTGCCTGGTCCTACGTTGTAGCTGACTGACTGACTGACTGACATGACTTTCCTTACATTAGAAAAATAAAGACAGCGGAATCAAACTCAAATAAAGCCAAGACGTTTGACTTTCTTTAAAGTATTATGGTTAATGTACTAGTAATTCGTGGTTGATAAGACTTTTTGCTGTAAGAAGGCTGTGGTAACTCATTATAGTGGTCTATGCTCAGTAAAATAATAAAGGTTAGGTATCACAGGTGATGTGCCTTAAAATTTTGGGCGGTCATATTTATATTTTACCCCCACATGCATCTGAATATATTACATCATATGATCATTTGACAATAGTAATCAATTATTTCTAAAGGAATTTGTTTGATCCTCCGTTGTAAATGAAGACAATACTCTCTATCTTTTGTTTTGAATATCATTCGTGTCCTCATATTCTCAGAATAAGATTGGCAAACTACTTTCCTAAATACATTCAGCGACTTATTGATGGTAACGCATCATCAGCACTTACAAGTAAACATTATATAGTTATGAGATAACTGTCACTGGATTTTAAGGTGCTGTGATGTTCAGAGGTTTGAACCGTAGGGATGATTTGACCAGGTTAGTTAGGTAATAAAAACATTGCTTGGAAGCCAATTCGTACAAGATTGATCAAAAGTATATCAACAACCAAGCACCACTTCCAAAGTTTCACTTAGAACTTTAGGACGACAGCGCACTGAAAGCCAACTGCTCACCAATGGTTTCACCATATGGCCGACTGCAGAGCCTCTAAATTCATGCAAAAGAATACTAACGGTTCACTTAATTTCTGCATGAAACTACATAAAATATTGTGCTTAACTAGCCAACGGTGACCATGATTATTTATGGCCAAAATAAGAAAAGTCAATTGCATTAAATGCAAAATCCGCGAATCTGAAAAGATCGAGTAATTTGGATCCATATCAAATGAATTCTCTCATTCAAACAGCCTCACAATTAAAATACTACTAGAATCAATTTATATTATATATACTGCGTTGTAGTACGATGGAACTCCATGCATATATACACACTATAGTATGTAGTATACGTGGAGTTGCTGAATAGGTCATATATGTATATAAATTCAGAGATGTTGCTGTATATTTCTGTGTCAGTATTCTTTAGCGTCAGCACAACGTAAATACTTACTGAACGGAAAGTAATGGATGCACGGAAATATAAGAACTACTATTTAAAACTGCAGACTCCGGGCTGCAAAAACAAACAAAGTTAAAATTTCTACTAATTCCTTTCTAATGTAATGAATTTTGAGTGAAAAGCTAGCTTCAAACTATTTGAGATTCTATACTAATTCTGTGATCCACATGAAAACATATGACGTTTTATTTCTTACAATAACCCTTCCACTTGTAAATCACTGGCCCTATAAAATGTTTGTGAATGGAATAAGAGAAGTTTTTACCATGCAAGCTCCAGTTTTTACCATCAGCCGACTATTGAAGGCTTAACCACAGTCTCAGTGTAGCGGTTCGCGTTTAGCCATAAAGTACTTTGTGTACTACGGGAGTGCTCACAGTGGCGTTAGGAGGAACGAAAACTAGAGCAAAAATTGGTGGGTCGACTTAACAAGTTCACATAATTCAGTTGTATTTGTTAAGAAAAGCAATGGAAAAAGTCAGTAAAAACACAAGCCTGAAATCAGGATATTCTTCGAATTCAAACAAGAAATAAGTAGGTAAGCCAGTTACGCTCTGTCGGATTCGAACTAGCCCTATTTAAAAAACACATCATGTGGATGAGAATAAAGCATTCAGTACCAAATATCTTTATTATTAGCCCATATCGACAGACTAATTTTGGCACACACTTCCTGTTATTTCAACACAGTTCCAGGAATTTGGTAATGTCCATTACTAGGCAGGAGGTTGGCTGGCTGGTTGTAATGTATAAAACGAAGAGAAAATCCGAATACTGGGAGAAGACGATTGTCTCAATCAATGAGTGATCAAGTGAGTTGATTGATGTGTAATGCCAACCGTGAGAGCAGACGGAAGTGCAAGGATGAAAGGGGAAACTGAGATTGTAATAAGCGAGATAGAATGTAGCTACTGATATGTAATAACGATGACAGCAGGCAATCTACAAGACATGCATCAGGCACAATTGATGCAAGCGGGAGATGGCACTTTATGGGTGAATACGTGTTAATCAATCCTCTTCTTAAAGCTATCCACTAAGAGGGTTGTGGTCACTTCTGATGGGAGAGCATGTAGTGCCATTGGGCCCTAACCACGCAACCGTCAAAGCTGAACACGAGACTACTCAGAAAATAGATATTCAATATTTAACGTGGAGAAGAACCTAACGACTGATAAGGCGGGAACAACTAATTAAAATGAATTCGAATTGATCGAATGGCATGGCTCGAACTAGCAGGCGTGATCCCTATTGAATGTATCTTATAACTTTTATTCATATTAAATATATTGTTCTATATCCAGCCTGAATGTGTTCCCCATCATGTATTAGTGACTGTTACGATGCGATGAGTTGGTGTGGACGGTGATGTAACATTCACGTAAGATCTTATAGATTAGGCAGTAGTAGTAGGCGGTAGTACAACAACGTATGGACAACAAAGTTGAGCAGCTAATCTCTTTCTCTGAAGAATTAGAACTATCAGCTGTTTTTGGCCATAGAGATTGTCTTCATTCACTCTAGGGTAGGGGTTTTAGAACACCTACAGATAAAAGACTTTTGATCTATCTCATTCATATAAACAGTGACTGTAACGCCACCGTCGAAACTTGACAACTGGCGAGCATATCCCCGTTTTCGGCCAAGTCCTTCTGGTAAAAGGTAAGCCAAACATCACTGTACTCCCAAGCTGCCAACTTTGGGGAAATTTGGTCCATTCTGCGGAAATTTTGGGGTAGCCGCCGTAGTAAATTTTGGGGTAGTTTGGGGAAATCCCCAAAGCGAACTGATGTTATTGGGAATACAACTGACTACTGAATTTTAGTAAGTAGTATAAAACAACATACAAAAGAACAAATAACTTACTGTTACATGTGATTTAGCCTACGAAGCCAGGTGAAAGGGAAACGGACAAGATAAATGTGATATCACTTTGGGGAAGCTTTCCCAAACCTTTGGGTTTTCCTGGAAAACTGTTTTAACGCAAAAGCTTTACGAAAACCTATCAACATCACGGAAGACCTAGGGAGAATGCTTACGTACATTAATTACTGGGATGTTTTACTACTTTTCGTTAATCACGCATTGCCAAATAAACTTAATGTTAACCGATTCGTCGCTTTTTTTAAAAGACTGATTTATGACGTATATAAATGTTTATCACAGTTAATAAATTTACAAATAATCCATGTATACAAAGTTTTTCATTCCGTTGTAGAACTGTCATTGACAATATTCTGAAAAATAAAGAAAATCATTTTTAGTGTATAATAACGTGTTAAGATATGTGAAAGGTCGATGATGTACCAACAGTGTGACAATGTTCTTAATAACGCGAACAAAGAACTTACAGTTACGTCTGATAAAGCCTGCGAAGCCAGCTGAAAGTGAAACGGGCACGACAAAAGTTGTATCACTTCAAGTATTGATCACAAAGTAATATACCCTAACAGTAATTAAAGTACAGTGATAATAGTGATAAATACAATGATAATTATCATCCAACGAGGTTTGTGGAAATCCCCAAAGTGAACTTCAGTTATTGCGAATACAACTGACTACTGAATTTTAATAAATAGTCTAAAACAATACAAGAAAGAGTAGAAAGGGAACGAGTAGGAACAATGTAGAACAAACTGAAGGTCTGGCTTGCTGTAGCCATGGCGTGTATTATATCCTTCTCCTGGCAGCTTGCACTTCTGAAACGTGAACACAAAGCACCTACAAATATGTTAATACAGTAATCTCGACTTACTTTGAACCGTCTAGTAAAATTTGTATTTACTAATACCGATTTTGCTTCTGGTTCCGTGCAAGGTGTACGTGTTCGCCAGTTCTGGAGAAAATAGGTATTTGAGACGAGCTTTTTCAGATTTCCGAGGATCATCATACATTACGTTGCATAATCTTGCCACCTAAAATTTATCGAAACACCTCTTACAACTGACGAAATGATCCCGGTATTTTGGTTTTCTAATGCTGCCTCTAAAGAACGCAACTCCTCATGAGTTCTTAATGGGAAATGTATAGCATCACTATCCATTTCCTCTGTACGCCTGTCAGTTACACCCATGGCTAAGCGTTCATACAAAAATAGCATTTTGTCTATTTTTCGTAGACAGCTCACTGACCGATTTCAGGAGCGTTCTTAACATTTTGTTTGTATCATCGCACAAACTTTTGTTATAAGGAATACAGTAAATGCAACTTACGGTTTATCAACTTCCGTCGACGTACGTGGAAGTGGTGGTGGTGATACGTCAGCTTTTGATGAACTACTATATGAGTATTGATAAAGTAGGTACAAACCTCGCAATCGGAGAAAAGGTTCCTGTTGAAATGTCGACAACTGGGAATTCCACCGGGGCAAATCCAGTTTCAACCTCAGCAACCTCTAGTTCTTCTGAGGTGCATAAATAATCAGTATTTTTTCGTTTGACAGTCCTAACACAAGTGATATAATAAGTTGAACAATTTACCTTTTCGGCTTGTCAGCGTGACGAATTGAAAATTGATTACATTCTTGAACACTTCTTGATGGACTACGCCAAAGCACTAACCAACAGACACTAACTGCATGTAGTACTATATTTGCAACAGTCCTTGAGAAATGACGTCACATCTGCTACTCGAATGTATGCAAAAGAGGGATAATAACCTCATAGTGTTGTGTGCGCATACATACTCACTTACAAAGTATGTTTGTCAGTGTTATCCACGTGCGTTCGTGGCTTAAGGTAGAACACTTAAACATACCAATATTACTGGAGGGAAAAGGGTCGGTATATAAATCGGAAGGATTACGGAATGGCCGGGACCTAATAAGGCCTCCATCAGCTAATTGTGTGACGAACCCTGGCCGACCATTGGCGATAACTACATTGTCCGGCCTTGTAGTAGATAGCTTTGAGTTCCTGTAACTGACGATTTGCTTGGAAGAATCATCAGTTACCTCAGGCTCAGTGACATTGTCAGCTATATCCTGATTCAGTATACTTTGAAAGTAAACTTCTTCGGCATATCGCTGTGCGGCTTGTTTAGCCGCAGCAAATCCACAGTGTACTGAACGCCTAATTTTCCTCACGTATGATTCAAAAGGAAAAGCAGAGAAGGACTCTAATATAATATTCGAATTATCGCATGAACTAGGAATTCCAGGATTAACGCAATTGAATTAAGAAGACACAGGCACAAACGAATGTATTGTATTTAGAATTCGAAATCGAGCATTCAACAAGTACAAAGATATCATTAGTCCATTCAAACACCACATCTAAACTTCCATGCTCCATAACGTCCTCTACAATGTGCTTTAAACTATGGACATAGTAGATTAATTGGTCGCTACCGTAACACTTTTCGTAACCTAGTAAGAAGTTGTTAATATGTACCCGAACACTGTTTGCTAATGTGGTGTGTAACTTAGGGTGCGATAATAAATATATTGACAAGGACAGTGTTACGGGAGAACTGAAGACATTTGGCGGATTAAAACCTTTTATTGTACATTAACAATTTACTGTGTTTTTTGGATGTAATTGTTTTACTTAACTTTTGAACTTGTTTGTTTATATCATTATTTCGGACATTTTGGTTTGTCTTTGGCTTGGTATTTGGGAGTTTTGCTCCGGGAACCTACAAAATTGAAGGTTTGTTTTGTGATTGTTATAATTATTGTTATTAGAACGACATTTGGTCGACTATTTGTAAATTACGAATAAATTTGGTATCTAAATTGGAACTTGGTTTTGTTGTTAATTTGGGTTCGTAATTTGCAAGTAGATCGATTGTCCGTACTTCAATAACTGGAACGAGCAAAACTTGGACGTAACATAAAAGTTCTTCAATTATTGGTTCTGTGTTCATACCTTGGATTTGTCTGGATATTTTGGGTCCAAATTCCTGGTCTTATTGGTCGGTTTGTTTGGATTAATTCAGATTTGTTTTGGTAATTGATTATTTGGAACAACAAATACGATGGAAACACGGAGCAAAAGGCTGAAGGAAAATGACGAATTGGATGGTAA